GAAAAAGTTAAACACCCCAGATAGCATTGGAACCCAAGGGAGAGAACTCTGGTCCAGGACTCACAAGACTGAGTCTTAATTCAAACAAAGGAAAGAGCTAGTCCCTGAGTGCTGCAAGATACTAAAGGACATGGGATGGCCCCTGAGCATCAGCCAAGGGCATCCATTAGTGCTCACTCAGCACCCGATCAGAAGAGGCCCTTCCTGCCAGTACAATAGCTTGTACCTGACTTGCAGTGCAACCAGAGGGGTAACTTGGATTCCCAGACAAAGACTGAGCTTGGTGGGAATGGGGGTAACAGAGAGAGAGAGAGAGAGAGAGAGAGAGAGAGAGAGAGAGAGAGAGAGAGAGATTGTAGATATTAACAGAGACAGCAGGGAGATGTGACAGATGGGAACAGCTGTGTGTCAGTCAAGCACACAGTCACCACACTGGGCCTCCAACTGGTCACACAGGTGCTTTGGTCCATGAGATAACCTCAGTCTCAAGGTCTCCAGGTTGCAGGGCACTTCAAGGTGAATTTCTTGCTCCTGGAAGCTTGCAGTGAGTTGAGGATAGGTGAAGAGGGGTCAGTCCTGTCCTGAACTCCATCCTCCCTGCTCGCACTGCAGAGGGCTGCTGCATGCACTCCACCCAGTGTATGGAGAAGGCTGAAGAAACAGGGATCATGGGAAGCAGGCAGAGATGGCAGAGGGTCAAGGAAAGGAAAACTGGTGATGGGGTGAGGGCTGGGCATTAAAAATTGGGCACATGTTATTTACTTCACTCACCCAGAAACAGAGAAAAAAATAATTTTGCTGGAATTCGAAATTTTGTCGGATTAAAAGGTAGGATCTTGTAAGTCTATTCCATTCACGCCACAGAAACAGCCACCAAATAGTCACTACTGACCAGGTACAGGTAGGAGATGAGTTAAGCCAAGGACCCTCCCCATCTCAGTGTGTCTGCTCCCTCAGACTGGCCTGTGTGAGCACACAGAGCACACAGAGCACGCAAACATCCCCATTACCTCCAACTGGGGCAGAAAGCAGCATTCTAAACTCAGGTCTGGGAAGAGAGGTCTGTATTGACTTATGACCTTGGAGGCTCGAGGAACCTCATTTAGCCACAGAGGAACCCCTCCCTGGCACTCCATCTGTCTCAGGTAACCACACATTCAGTAAGAATCAGTCCTTCTCTGGGCCCCAAAGCTCCAAAGAGAATGTAAAGCCTGAAAGAAAACGAATTTCACTGGTAAACTCCTCTATCTATTGAGTCTACCATCCAGGGAAGGAATGAAGCTGGAAGATGAGTCATAGAGTGGGGGAGGGAGAGAGCTGAGTGTGTTAAGGTGGGAGCCCACGGGCTGTGTACCAGGCCCAGAGAGCCCAGCCCCCGTGGAGAGGGGGTGGAGTGTCTAAGAAGACACCGGAGGAGGCCCTGTTAGCTCCAGGAGAGAAAAACACAGTACACTGTGTGTCTCAGCTCAGAGCAATATTGGCATGGTCACATTGAAGTAAATACTGAAGGTCCCCAAGCCCCTCCCTGGGATTTCTGGAGGCAGAGGATATGTCTGTGGGTTGAGGGTGTTGACTCTGGGGTCTTCCATAGTGGCAAGTCAGTAGGCACTGCTTAAAATGGGAAGAAAATTCAAATAGTGGCCTGCAATAATACAATTTAGAATAAAGGGAGTGATCCTGAAGAAAACAAGTAAGTTACTGAGTCTCAAGAATGAGACTTGAGCACAAAACCCTGAGTTCAAACACCAGCATGGCCTCCAGTGAGATGGGAAAGAGGGTGCATGATTAATACTCCAGTAAACACAAAACTTAAGTTAGAAGATGATAATTAGCGTGCAAAGCCCTCACCATCCTTTTTCATTACTCAGCCCCCTTGAAAGGCACGCACGACACACCTGCCTCTGGGTGGGGAAGCGACCTCTCTACGCCCCTCCCTTCCTCACCCCATTACCTGCTTTGCTTTCTCTTCTTACACTCTTTTATTTTATTTTTTTGTTTATTATTTTTTATGACTTTACCGTTTTTACATTTTCTTACACTCTTTTTAAATTGCCTCATCCATTTATTAGTTTGCTGGTGTGTGTTCTTAATCCCCACTGCCCAGGAGGAGGGTGGCCCTGGTGCCTCCTCTGGTCCCCGGCACACAGAAGGTGCTCAGTAAACACCTATGGACCAACACTGACTTCCTGAGCAGCCCTATGCCAACCAATGGGTTTCCAAGGCACCATCCAAGAGACAGGAGTATCAGAAGTGCTTCTTCTACAAGTGACTCAAAAAATGGATCAGTGCCAGAGCCCAGCAAGAATTCTGGCACTCAGAGCCGGACGTAGTGGCGCACACCTGTAATCCTAGCTACTAGGGAGGCTGAGATCAGGAAGTTCGTGGTTCCAGGCCAGCCTGGGTAAAAAGTTCACCCCACCTCAACGGAAAATAAGCTGGGTGTGGTGGCATGTACCTGTCATCCCAGAGACACAGGGACGTATAAAATAGGAAGATTAGGGTCCAGGCTTGTCTGGGCAAAAAGTGAGATCCTATCTCCAAAATAACCAGAGCAAAAAGGGCTGGAGGTGTAGCTCAAGTGTTAGAGCCCCTGCCTAGCAAGTGTGGTGTCCTGAGTTCAAATACCAGTGCTGCCAAAAAAAAAAAAAAAAAAAATTCCAGTGCTTAGCCCAGGCACACTCAAGACCCTAAACAGGAAGCACACATTCCTGTTCATTGCTTGCAGCTCACAGTCTGCAGGACCTGTCCCACTGTTCTGCAGGCTTTTATTGGTTTTCCAATCAATAGCCTGTAAAGTGGTTTAATGGCAAAAGCACAGTAGGCCCGGCAGAGGCAAGGTGATCTCCCTGGGCCTGGTGGTTGAGGTGGCTCCATGGAGGGGGCTTGGCAAGTGTCACCTCTCTTCACACAAGGGCTCTTCTTGAATGAAGGGTGTCAATGTGGGAGAAGCTGCAAAGGCCTCCCCAGAAGCATTCCTCCAGGGTCCTCAGGTGGTGAGGCTCCCTTCCACTACTAGGGCCTGGCCCTCCTTCCTGGAAGTGGGGTTTTATGTTGGTGATTAATGTCTCCCCTTGTTTAAGGTTCCTTCCTGCCCTAACCAAAATGCTCTGGGCTCCCAGATTCTTGCTCTGGTTTTTGGGGTGGTCTGCTCTGATTAATACCCACTTGTTCCCTCCAGAGGGCATGGGCAGAGCCTATGCCTATGGTGCCCATGTGTGGCCCCTGGGCCCAGCATGGCACCTGGCTTAGCTATCAGTGGCCAGCATTCGAAGATATGAAAGACAGTGTGACCAAGTAGTGGACCCTCAGAGTGACCTGGAGGAATCCCATTTCACAGAAAAGGGACACTGAGGTCACAGAGGAAAGGCAACCTACTGGGCTGGGGTGGGTGGATCTGGGAACAGAACTTGGGGGTCCTGACTCCCACCTGGGTTCTTTGAGCAATTCCAGACTGTGCTGCTGACTAACATGTGTGTCAGACCCAGGGGTGGGAGGACACCTGGGTGTGGTAGGAGGAGCAGGAGAGCCAGGCAGAAGCATGAGCCTAAGGAGCGATAGGGGATTCTGTCTGGGAGGCACAGGCCCAGGGCATGGAGCTGCCATGCCTGGGGCCTGCCCCCTGGTGTCCTGCCTCTTTTGCCTGGTGCCAGGATGCTCCCAGGGCCCTTCATCTCTTGTGCCTGACTTTTAACTTGATATGTTTGTCTTTCTGCTTTTGAATTATTAAAGTGAAATCACATAGCTGATTAAAAGAGAAAAATTAAATATTTTAGGTGTTACAATGATTCCTTATATGGACCGGAGACAGAATAGATCTGGGAAAATGAGGCATGGGAACCAGCAGCCAGGAATTCAGAGATAAACAGTGTATTAATGAATGGCTTGATTAAAAGCTCACAGGCACTATTTTCTTTGCTTGGAGCCTTACACTCCCTCAACAAGCTGCAATATTTAGTCAAAAAGAAAAAAGGGAAACAGCAGTTTCTCCCTCTGACCTTGGCTAAATGATTAGTGTGCTCTGAGAACTGAGCAAGGGTATCTTAAAGAAAGACACCTATCTTGTACATAAAAAAAAAAGTGTTTACAAAGGAAAAAACTTATTGCAAAGATGGACCCTGTCTTACAGGGAGAGTCTGGCAAAACCATCCTTTGTTTGAAGGATGCTTGACCTTGATACCATAATAACCAAGCTTAATGAGCAGGTCAACCGTGGAAACCTTAGAACCAATTTATAAAACACTGCAACAGAAAAAAAAAAATTAAATACACCAGGTGTCAGAACAAAGGCGAGCTCTTTTCCTAAGGTCAATTCCAGTTAAATTTCCAACTCAACCCCTGTACTCAGAGCACTCATTGCACCTGTTATCAGTGTGCCTGCACCCACGTCTGGGTGTGTACTCTACTGTATTTCTATCTCTGCTTTGCTTTGATTTACTGATAAACTTTCTTGGTCTCTACCTTGATGTGTCCTAATTTTTTTTTTAACAGCATCACGAACTCAGTACCCAAGGGTCAGACTGAGGCCTTCCTCCCTTTTGGAGATCTACTCCCTGGAGTACCATTGTTTCTGGTAACAGACCCTCTAACTTTGAACCTCAAGGAATTAAGTAAAAAAGTTTCTTAGAAATATGATATTATTAGCAACTCGTATTGTCCTTTTGTGTTCTGCAACACTCTGCATTTTTCATATCGCTCTGAGCCTGACATATAACTGGTGCTCATCAAATGCTTGCAGAACAAAGTTCCTAATAGAGACAGGGGAGGTGTTCTGAGATCAGCTTTAAATATTCCAGCAGGGAGAAAGATATTTCATCAAGAAGAAACAGCAATAGCACAAATATGGCAAAATTCTTGGCAACTGTTGAATCTGGGTGAGGGTGGACAGGAGTTTATTGTGTATTCTTTCTGCTTAACAATCTTTATCATTTAAAAAAGTGACAGGGTGGGTAGAGGAGCCTTGACCTCAGCGGGGGTCCCAGCTGCATGCAGTGGGCAGGCACTCACCTTTTTATGGCTTTGTAGCAAATGATGACAAGCACGGTCAGAAACACCAGGGAGGCACAACACACAGCGATGACAATCACCAGCCCGGACCACCAGCTGTCCTCAGTGGGGCACGAGGTAGAGTTGGGAGCTGGAATAGACAGGCGTAGTCTGACCTTCCCCAGATGAGTTCGGCCCAGCTAACCTCAGGGGTGGGACTGTCCTGCATGACTCCAGCAGGGGCCTCATGGCCATCACTGGGAAGAAGGCCCTCTGACCTTTCCTGCCATCCCTGCCCCTCCCCCCATCCTAAGCAGGTGACATCATGGCTGGCCCCCAGCCAGGCCACTCCCCCTGCCCCAGGCGCCTCCAGCCCAGCCTCCCAAGCTTGAGCTAACTGACAGAAGGGTCAGGTTTAATTTCCCATGAAAAATAACAGAACATCTCATTCTCTCAGTTGAGGCATTAAATCCGGTTCCTCCGAGGGTGGGGGTTGGGAGCTGGGCTCACAGGGGACTCTGGGGAGGAAGGAGAGAGAAGTCAATGTCAGTTTCTGAAGCTGATTTCTTGCAGAAGCCTGGCTCTTATGCTTGGATTCAGCCCAGATGGTGGGTACTTGCAGTTCGCTCAGTGTGCGTGGGGTGCTAGTGGACATCATAGGGCTGTCCCATCCAGGAGTCCTCGGGGAGAACCTGCCCTCCCCCTTCTTGGCACAGGCTTGGGGGGCGGGGGGGGGCACCTGAAGCATGGGTGTAAAAAGGCCAGTTCACATCCCCCTTAGAAAAGCAATGACTTCCTGCAGTCTTGTTGCTGAGGCCCCAGGAAGACCCAGCACAACTAGAAGGAAGTGTCTAGAATTGCAAAAGGAATGGGAGGTGAAGAGGGAGGAAGAAAGGAAGGAAAGAGAGAATGAAAGGGAGAAAGGGAGGAGGGTGGCGAGGGAGGGAGTAAGCGCGGGACAGGTAGACACAGACAGACAGCTTTGGGCAGGTGCTCAGGACATAAGCAGAGAGAAGTACCAACTCTGTGCCCCACACGCTGTCCACTCTACTAGGCCCCTGGAGGGCTGTAACAGTATACAGGGGACAGGTAGACACCTCCCAAGGCACACCAGGACTTTTGGGTCTTGCTCCTTTGCACGCCATCTGACAGCCAGTGGAAGCCACCTCCACTCGTGACACAGAACATCTCCAACACCCTAGGAAGTATCCCTGAGCCTCTTTCTAGCCAGTCCCCACGCTGGGGCACTTACTATTCTGATTCTGCAGTTGGAGACTAGATTTGCTTATTCCTGACACTCATATAAATGGAATCTGTTCTGTTTGCTTCCTTTATTTGATGTAGTGTTTTGGGCTTTCCCCATGTAGTTACATAGTGCAGTAGGTCCTTTCCTTTTTACTGTGGGCAATATTCTACAGTACGGGTACACCACAAGTGTTTATCCAGTCCCCTGTTGATGGACACCTAGGCTGATTCTAGGCTCTTGACCCCTATGGGAAAAGCTGCTAAGAACATTTGCACGCTGAGTCTTTGCGCGCACACACTTTCATATTCCCCTTGGATAGGGGTGGGTTTGCTGGGTCATGAGGTGTGTACATGATTAATATTGTAAACTTGCCAAGCTGTTTTTCCAAGTGTTCACACTTTTGTACCCTTCTGTGCAGAACCAAGAAAGATGGGAGAAAATGGAGACAAGGAAGTGGTTTCTGAGTTATTACTGAATTCACAACAGCTGGATAGAGAGATTCAGGAAGCCATTATGTGCCTCCCAGAGGACTGGTGGTAAAACCCCATTAACGAAGGCAAGGTTCCCAGGGGTGGACCTCAGATGCTTACGGATCCCACAAAATGGCTAGGACAAGAATGCCACCAAGCTGCTCTCCGCTGGGCAGGATCAGGCTTTAGAAACATCAACCCTAAAAAGGTACAGAATTCACAATAGGGACAAACTCTAAAAACTATGGGAGAGGGCCAAAGGGATTCTCCGTTTCCCCTTGATGAACTTGCTCAATGTTTTTAATGGTGAAATATCAAAGCTCCAATCCTTCCCCTCAATTCTTCATTTTGGGGTGTCCCTGGCTTCGTTGAGCCTCCCTGAGATGACTTGGCAGAGATCTAGCTTCCCACTTCACTATAGGGGGATCAGATGACCAACCCAATTGCCCAAGGCTTCCTGTCTATACTGGTCCCACCCTTCAAAGGCTTGCTCCCCATCTTCACTGCCAAGGTCACTTTCAATTTCTGTGAGTACCTCAGGCTACAATACCTCTGGGCAAGTCTCCAAGGCCATACCAGCGCACCTCTGGCTCACAGAAGGTTGGTTACCCCTCCCTATATCCTGGGAAAATCTATCAGTATATGTTCTCTACAGGGTCTGCACTCCTGTCCAGTAGCACGTGTAAATATGGGGGGTTTATTCAGTGTAAATGGCACTGAAGTAGATTTATACATAAGGTGGAACTGTCCCTCAAAAAATGTCAACAAGACCCCCACTGAGAAATTCCCACTTGGTAGATGGATTCCAAGCCTCCCCTGGAACTTGGCACTTGATTCACAGCACCTCTTTTCCTTACATTCTCTATTAATGAGCTGGAGTTTTTCTTTTTATGGTCACTTTTCAAATCATAATTAATACTGAGAGCAGTAGCCCAGGGAGAGTGACCTTCTGCCCTGGCTCTCCCTCAAATACTCAGTAGGGAGAACATGCCACCCAACGCAAAACTGCCAGCAGATATGAAAAGAAGGAGGTAACCCACGGAACCTAGTCAAGACATAAGTCTTAGATTTGCTCAGAAAACCAGCCTCTGTGTTTGAAGAACGCACCCTGGAGAATATTGGAGCTGGAGGAAGCCTGGCAAGAGTCATTTCCAAAAGGAGAATAGGACTGAGATTCAGGATCAAGAAGTAACTTCCTAAGGGACAGGATAGAGATGACCTTTGGGCCCGCCCCTGCCTCAGTTTCCCTTCCACTGAGTGTGGCCAGTACTTCTCTCCAGAGGTGACAAGACAACTTATCATGTGGGTAGACTGGTGGCTCATATTTGAGAAGTCAGTTGTCTTAAAGGCGCTCATTCATTCATTCTTTCACCTACTCATCTATCAGACACGTAGTGAGCATGCCTAGCGCCCAGCACTATGCTAGGAGCTGGGGGTACAGAGATAAATCAGACATAAACTGTACCCTTACCAGGCCTGGTGCCAGCTGCACCTTGGATCACTACAAAGCTGACTAAGACCTGATCACTTGCTCAAGGAGCCTGCCGTCTCCAAAAGAAGTGACATGCATGAATTACTAATATGCAAGGTGAAGGTCATCTGTGGCTGGTGAGAGGGTGTCCAGTGTGCTGAGGTGGTTGGGGGTGGGGGCTACACCAGGTAAGAGGAAGGTGGCCAGACAGACAAGTCTGAGGCAGTCAGGGTCAAGCACCAGGAACGAGGCTGACACCGAAGCTCTCCTCTGTTGCTTCCTCTGAACATGACAGAGAGGCAGGAGCTATCCAAACACCTCAAGGGTCACAGCACCCTCTCCTGAGATGCAATGAGGCGTTGTCTGCTGCCTTCAGTAAACTAACGCCTGCAGAGATGAGGAGACAGGTGACCAGAGAGGGCAAGTCAGAAGATGCCAGGCTCAGGTTTGCTTTCTGAGAGGACCCTTGTTCTTTTCAGTTAAGAGGTGTCTCGTGAAAAGCTCCCACACTTCTCCATCCAGACAACATGGAGTAACAGGGACTAGATTTGCCCACCTACCTAAAACATCCAGAAAACATGCCACATATAGGAACGCATGATTCTCCAAACGGTGGATATCGGGCACCGAAAGTCAGTGAAACAAAGGAGGTGAGTTCTGCATAGGCAGGGAGAAGCCAGACAGGGCCTGGCTAACTGGGAGTCCAGGTGTGAACAGGGAAGAGGAGGTCCCTCCCTGAGGAATCTCTGAGAAGAGTAGAGGAAGCAACCAGTAAACAAAGACACCAATGGATACGTGATTGCGCATAGTGACAAGGGCCATAAAGAAAAGAAAGAGGTCTTTTCCTGCCTGGAAAAGAAGCAGGTGGGGTGGAAACTTCCAATATGCCCAAGGAGGCAGAAGAGATTCTGTGGTGATCTGTGGACCCACTCACAGTCCAAGGCCACACAAGAACTATATGAGGCCAGGCTACCCTGCAGCCTCTCTCTGTGCCAAATGTCCCCATGGGATTTTGTGACTATGAGACAAGATGACAGCGGCAGTGTTCCTGTGGGTGTCAAGAGAATGAGCAACACTTACTACCATGGTGCCTGGCCCCATTATTCTCCCCTCTAGCAGTGGGGACACAGGCCACAGAGTCAGGGTCCTGGTGACAGTACTCCCAGGCCACTCTGCACAAATCAAGAGATCTTTGCAGAGAAGCTGAGCACTGATGATTGACAGACAGGAGGGAACTGATGGAGAGATGAAGGAATCAATGGGGCCCAGAACAGTTTGCAGACAATCCCACTTTGCAAGACCTCTTTAAGCAAACAGTAATGCAGACTGGTTCTCAAAGAAGAGAGTGACAGCCCTATTTGTTTTAAAGTCACTTTTCCATCTTGAATCAGAGGTCTTATCTGTGGCTGGTCCTCCAGACCCTGTGTGTGGCCACCTGGCCATCTGCACGTGCACCTGGCTTCCTGAGCACAGTCTGAGTTCCAGGTCCTGCAGGGACTCTGGGAGCCTAAGAGACATCATTAGATATCTCTCCTAACTTTCAAAGTCTGTGATGACTCACACCAGGCTGCCTGAGCGCTTTCTTGACAGTTCTCTGGGAGCTAAAAGGGCCGAGAGCTTAACTGGCTTTAATTACGGTCAGGTGAGGAGAGGCAGCCTGCGCCCAGCCCTGCAGGGAGCTCACCACCACTGGCAGTTCCAGCCAGTGCCTCCTTGTCCAGGGTGCCCTGTACAGTGGAGTTCAGTCCCTGTCTCTTTCCAGGACCTAATGTCCAGGAACCTGCTTCCAAGCACAAAGGTCAAGCCCAGCCTGTCCTGTGGGAGACTGCAGGCAGCAGCTAGGCTGCTCTCTATCACCACCAGGCAGAGGTGGCAGGAGCCACACAGCTCTGCTTCAAGGGATGGTCTGATGGCACAGCTGGTCTATAGGGTGTTGGGGTTCCTCTCTGTAGTTCTCCCCCAGC